CAAATAAAATTAGAAGTTAACCAGCCTACTTCTACTTCTCATGGTTGGAGATTCAGAGAAAATCTTCTTAGAGACCCTGAATTTATCACTTATGAACACCAAAATTGACATATATCTGGAAGTAAATTTACATACCTCCTCACATTCAAACATATGGGAAGCACTCAAAGCTTATATGAGGGGGCACATTATTTCATATGTTTCATATGAAAACAAACAAAAAAGGGAACAGCTTTCTCAATTAGAAAAAGACATAAGAACTCTGGAGATTGACCATTCAAGAACAAAACACCCTGAATTACTTAGTGTCCTAAAACAAAAACGGATTTTATATGACAACCTGTGTACTAGTAAAGCTGAGGCAGCAATGGCTAGGACAAAATATCATTACTACGAATACAGCAATAAAACAAGCAAACTACTGGCGTGGCAGATAAAAAAGGAGGACAATGAAAAATGTATTCATAGTATTAAAACAGATGATGGTAGACAATTAGAAAATACAAAAGACATAAATTTTGAATTTTAAAAATATTATCAATCATTATATAAATCTGAGCTTGACTAGGACAGTGTAGATATAAAACAATTTTTAAACCAATTACACTTACCAAAGATTAATACAACCGACAAAGACATACTGGATGGTGAAATAGGTGAGGAAGAGGTTTGCCTTGCTGTTGGATCGTTACAAAATAATAAAGCCCCAGGGCCAGACGGCTTTCCAATTGAATACTTTAAAACCTTTTCAAACAAATTACTTACCCCCCTTACAGACATGATAAAGGAGGCATTCCAAAAAAACAGTACTTCCCCAATCTTTAGAACTTGCAACGATTACATTACTTCCCAAACCTGAAAAAGATTAAAAAAAAGTGTGGTAACTATAGACCCCTCAGCCTTCTCAACTCCGACTATAAGATCTTGTCTAAAATAATAGCAATTTTAATAGCTGTTTTAATAGCAATAATTTTAGACTGGAGAAAATAATACCAAAAATTATTCATGCAGACCAAACAGGTTTTGTTAAAAACCGACAGGGAGCGGACAATATCTGGAGGCTATTTCATATTATTGATATTGCTAAAAGAAAGAGGTACCCCCTGGCAATCTTGTCCATGGATGCTGAGAAGGCGTTTGACAGAATTGAACCGGATTTTCTTTTTGAGACCTTAAGCACTATGAATTTTGGTGAAACCTTTATTAGATATGTAAGAACACTCTTTAATGGCCCTAGATCACAGATTTTGACTAATGGAGTTCTGTCGGACGCCTTCTCGCTCTCCCGAGGCTGTAGACAGGGCTGTCCGTGTTCTCCTAGCTTGTTTTCAATTGCCATAGAACCATTAGCAATTGCAATTCAGTCTGACTTATCTATTACAGGTATGAGGGTAGGTACAGAAGAACATAAACTTGCGCTATATGCAGACGATCTGTTGGTATTTATATCTGATCCGTCTAAATCCTTTCCATCTTTACTGGCATGCCTGGGGTCGTACAGTGCAGTTTCTGGCTACAGAATCAATTATTCCAAGAGTGAAGCGTTTCCACTTAATATGACAGAGCAGGAGACACAATTATTACCTGGTTCATTTAAATGGTCTCCGGATGGTTTTACATACCTTGGCGTTAATATCAGTTCCTCATTTGATCAGATTTACCAAAGGAATTACACATCATTAATTAATAAAACTAAAACAGAGCTGGAACGATGGATGGATCTCCCACTAGCGTTAATTGGCAGAGTCAATTCAATTAAAATGTCTATATTACCTAAATTTATCTACTTATTTCAATGTGTCCCCTTAAAAGTCCCAATGAGATTTTTCAAAGATTTGGATAAAGCAATATCTCTGTTTTTATGGCAGAAAAAGGTCCCAAGAGTTAAGCTTCTTACTTTACAGGCTCCTTATGCTAAAGGCAGTTTAAATTTACCAAATTTTAGAATATATTACTTAACTTCCCAGTTCCGTATTCTATGGATGTGGGCTCACTCAAATCCCAACGACGTGAGGTGGTTCTCGATAGAACAACAAGAATTTAAATCGATGTCACTAGCAACTATCCCCTTTTTGTTCAAAAAAGCAACTCTACAATTACCTCAAATCCTTTAATTTTATCCACCTACAATGCTTGGCTTCAGTTACATGTTCTCTTAAACCTAAACACACAAATGTTTGTCAACACACCTAACATTCCCCAACCTATAGCAGATGGTATTCTACAAACTTGGGTCAGAAAAGGCATTAGAACAATCGGCAATCTTTATACCAATAATGTCTTTGCCAGCTTCAGTCAATTATCTGAATTTTATGACTTACATAGGCATAATTATTTCGAATATTTACAAATCAGACACTGGATTAAGAGCCAAACATTGGATATATTTCCAAATAAACCAGAGGAAACATTGTTGGAAACATGTTTATTAGATTCCAAGCGTACCACTACAAAAGGACTTATCTCTTGTGTTTACAAGATTGTTCTCGACTATTTACAAGCTTATGAGAAGTACTCAAAAAAATCGAACTGGGAATCGGACTTAAGCTGCAAATATGATGACAAAAGCTGGAACAGGTTATTAAATTCATCCCAAACAATATTAATATTAACAAAACACAGGCAAATTCAATTTAATATTATTCATCGCATGTATTATACCCCACATAGGTTGAATAAAATGAATGCCAGCATTACTGACAAATGCCAGAGGTGTAAGATATCTGTGGGGGATCTTCTTCATATGCTTTGGAGTTGTGTACACTTGAAAACTTACTGGAATAATGTAATTTTGATAACATCAGCAGTTTGTGGGCTTTCTTTAGACGCTGACCCCAGGCTTTGGATACTAGGAGATGTTATGTCCCTGAAATTATATCCTTGCAAGAAATACTTTGTTTTGGGTTTTATTTCTGAAGTTTGTCAGTTTCTTTTTGTTTTTTTTCCATCTCACTCATCATCTGCAGCAAAAAAGTGTATACTTAAAAATTGGAAATCTGTGGTGCCACCAAACCAGAAACATTGGATCAACGAACTGTTGTCATACTGCACTCCTGAAAAAATTCTTCATTCGACACGTGGGAACATTGGCTAAGTTCGAACAGATATGGACTCCTTTCCTGGACAAACTAACCAGATTAGATCTGGTAGACTGATTTGATCTTTATTGATCTTTACTGTCTCGTGTCAGTTCTTTTGGTATTTTTGTTGTATTCATTACTCTTAACTCTGGCCTTTCAAAAATATGTTTAATGTTAAATGTAATATTATGTATTACATGTGTTCTACATGGAGAGAGTGGGTGGGGTGGGTGGGTTTTATTTCTGAAGTTTGTCAGTTTCTTTTTGTTTTTTTTCTTATGTGTATGTTTTGTGTATTAAAAAAGAAAATTTGTAAATTTTGTACACTGGAAGTATAATATGTATGGTTATACATTTTGAATAAATATATCTATAAAAAAAGAAAAAGAGAAAAGCCGTCTCTTAACAGAGGAGGAGACCTCAGATTTCCACATTCAAAAACCTATAATGCAACTTTAAGACTGATTCTCAGCCAGTTTTCACACCTGGTGGGAACAGAGGGGTCTCATCTGTGAATTAGAGTAACAAAGACTTTAAGAAGTCCCCTACTGTTAAGGTGTGGAGGTGTGACTTGTCAAATCTACATATGTGTCTTATCTCACTCAGCCTTATAACCTGAATCTCTCACTCACTGCTCATTAAATTGAGAAAGCTCCTCGGATGAGGAGCGAAACATCTTCTGTTACAAATAAAGTCCAGTTGTTTTTGTATTGAACACTTTTTGAATTCCCCCTGTGAATAGTAAACAGCCATCAGGGTGCTAATGATCCATTGTTAGGCTGATGGCCCTTATTGACCATGTGAGCAGCTGGTTTTGGTTGTCAGCAGCAAACTGGTTGATCCACTCTGAGAAGGTGCTATTTAAGAGACTGAGCTGAACACAGCACCTCAGACTGAGGAAGTCTTTCAGATGAAAGACGAAACGCTTCTACAATTTTTTGTTGTTTTGCTTTGTTTTGCTTTTTGAATGTCCAGAGGACCAGATTTAACTTTTTTAGATAATGTTACTAACACTGGATGTCCTCACAAACTGGAAGCTCAATCCGACAGGACTGGTACTGACAACGGGGCTAATGTCGTGAAGGCAGTGGAAGCATCATGCTTTGGGGTGTTTTTATGCACATGGGACAGTACGACTGCACTGTATTAAGGAGAGGACCGGGGCCATGTATTGCGAGATTTGGGGGAAAAACCTCCTTCACTCATTTAAAGCATTGAAGCTGTGTCATGGCTGGGTCTTCCAACATGACAATGACCCGAAGCATACAGCCAGGATAACCAAAGAGTGGCTCCGTAAGAAGCATATCAAGGTTCTGGAGTGGCCTAGCCAGTTTCCAGACCTAAACCCTATAGAAAATATTTGGAGGGAGCTCAAACTCCATGTTTCTCAACAACAGCCCAGAAACCTGGCTGATCTAGAGAAGATCGGTGTAGAGGAATGGGCCAAAATCCCTGCTGCAGTGTGTGCAAACCTGGTGAAAAACTACATGAAACGTTTGACCTCTGTAATTGCAAACAAAGGATACTGTACCAAATATTAACATTGATTTTCACAGGTGTTCAAATACTTATTTGCAGCAGTAACACACAAATAAATTATTTTAAAAAAGCATACATTGTGCTGAGTGATCTGTTCTTGTCTTCAAAGGGTGCATAGAACTTGGTGAGGGCATCAGGCAGTGATGAGTCTCTAGAGCATTGTTCACTTCATGTCCCTGCACATACTCCGTGGGTCTTGTGAGGTGAATTAACCCTGGATCCTCTGTGCATATGTGGCTCTGGTCCCATTGAGGCCCCATTGCGGCCCCATTGCACTGTTAACCTTGTGTTAACCTGCGTATGACAAATAAACAACATAGCTCTTGTTTCTGGTGATGTTAAGGAAGGAGGTTAATACAACATTTACTGTTTGTTTTACAGGTTCAGAACTTCCTTGAGAAGGTGCAAAGGGACAAACAGATAAGTGAGTTTGACCGGTGTGAGTGGCGAAGAGAAAACATACCTGAGGATAAACCCCAACACCTGATGATGGGAGAAGAAGAGAAGAAGAGGAACAAGGCCATGAAGAGAGTTAAGACTCAAAATGAAGATCCTGTGGTTGAAGAAAGTTCTTCTGAATCCAGTCATGATGAAAGGACAGAGGAGTGCAGTTCACAAAACACTGCCTTCACCTTCACCACGGAGTCCGTGGAGGTTGTAAGGGAACATCCGTCTCTACAAACTCCAGACTTTCTGCTGTCGGACACATGTGAAGGTAACAGTGTAACATACCGGTAGATTATTATAAGGTGTTTGTACGTTGAACATTTTTGCAGTGTAACAATGAATAATGTGCACGCCTGTGCAGAGCTGAGTGTGAGGTGCAGGAAGAAACCAAAGAAGAAGAAGAAGCGAAGAAAGACGCAGCAGGTCCCTGCAGAGATGGCAGCCGATCCTGAATTAGCTAAATACTGGGCTCAGCGCTACAGACTCTTCTCTCGGTTTGACGAAGGCATCAAGTTGGACAGAGGTTAGTTTGGGTACCACACTCACTACAACCTAATCAACAAAACTGTCTTTACAGGGAAAAATCAGCCACACATTTATTTATGTCTGTTTTATTTATTTATATATGTGCAGTCAATAACCATGATTTTTCTGACAGTCTAAAATTCTTCTACTTTTTTATTTTAGGCAGATTTTTTTCAAATGCTTTCATAACCTCACAGGAACTTTACTACACTGTTGTGCTGCTGAGGTTGGAAAATCCTCCACATTAAAATAAACTGTAAATGCAAGTTTTATTCTCATATTTACTACATCATAAAATAATGAATTCCTCTCTGTATTTTTTTTTTGCCTTTTACCTCTATCCCTATATATTTTTTATTTTAGCTCACTAGTTGGTACTCAGCTTTTGCATTCAGAGCCTCTGTAAAAATCTACTGAGGCAGAGTTCAACTTACCCTTCAACACCAGCCACAGCTGAAACAAAGTGCTGAACATAAATAATAAATAAGATAAAAGAAAGCGCAGCACGGTGGCGCATCTGGTAGAGCTGCTGCCTCTCAGCGAGCAGGTCCTTGGTTCAAACCCCGGTCCAGGGGCCTTTCTGGGTGAAGTTTGCATGTTCTCTCCGTGCATGCGTGGGTTTTCTCCGGGTACTCCGGTTTCCTCCCACAGACCAAAAACATGCATGTTAGGCTGATTGGTAACTCTAAATTGTCCCTAGGTGTGAGTGAGAGAGTGAATGGTTGTTTGTCTCGTTTGTCTCTATGTGGCCCTGTGATGGACTTGCGACCCGTCCAGGGTGTACCCCGCCCCTCGCACAGTGATTGCTGGACATGGGCACCAGTGACCCCCGTGACCCAAAATGGAATAAACGGGTAAAGAAAATGGATGGATGGATAAAAGAAAGCATAAAAATAAAGTGACAAAGCTAAGCAATACACAATAGTGAATTAAAAACTTGTTAAAACGACAAGTTAAAACAGATAAAATCAGTACCAATAAAAATTAAGTAAATCAAGGCTAATTTCAGACTAAGATAGCTCTAAAAAGTTGACTATTTTTTTGTGGGGGAAAATATATACATTGCCTGGCCCAAAAAAAAGTGGCCACCAAAAACAAGGTCACACACTAATATTTTGTTGGACCACCTTTAGCTCTGATTATGGCATGCATTCGCTGTGGCATTGTTTCGATAAGCTTCTGCAATGTCACAAGATCTATTTCCATCCAGTGTTGCATTACTTTTTCACCAAGCTCTTGCATTGATGATGGCAGTGTAGATGAACATATGCATGATATATTCATAAATTAAACGGGTTCTTTCATTTTTCTGGACTGTATATAACGTGCATTGAATTTAATAAAATGTATCGTGAGACGTTATTTATCTTTGACCCATCAAAATGAATGTGGTCATTTATTTACAGAATCAAAGTTTAACATCAAACATTTACATCAATTTGGCACATTGAAAAATAACAACATGGCTAATTTTAGCGAGCTATACAAGTGATTGATTATCCACACGGCGGTGGATGAGCACTTTACACAGACATTTCTAAAATTATCTGGAATGATTTCTACTTGATAGAAGAATTTAAAGAGGAAAGATGAAGTTTAGTGGGAGAAAAGATGGGTGAGGGGGTTTGTTTATGTCGGCACTCAGAAACAGCACTCTCCGGGTTTCTCAGCTTTTCCCCGGTACACTTAGGTGGCAGAATTCAACTCTTTTACCTGGAGATGTCCCCAGCGGTACGAAAGTCCATTCAACGCACCCTTTCAGCGTCTCCGTAGGAACAGCTGTGAATCGTCCGAAGTAGTGACGGTATTCCGTTCGACACAAATTCACCTCAGCAAGTGGACTTCACATGAGTGGAGTCCGTCAGAGTTCCACCCAGATGTGGAAGAAAGTTATAATCCCATAAGACTCGGAAGAGCTCTGTGGTCATGTCAGGACCTTCCTGTTTCCCAGCACGGGAGCTCGACCGCAACCTCGGCTCGACTCAACTGGAACTTCGACCCAACAGGAACTGGGACCCAACAGGAACTGTGAGACTCTGTGAGACTCCGTGAAACTCCGTGAAACTCTGCCTTAAACTAGGAAGTACAGACATTTTAAAGAGCTCTATTTCCGGTTCATTTGGGAGTCCCTGATTGGTCAATGTCGACCAGACAGGGGTGTGGTTTGTGACGTAAGAGGTCACAAGAAGTCAGAAGACAGCAAGAATGTTATGGAACAGATTGAAAATGTTTTTCAGACAGACGAGAGAAATGTTTGGGCGAGTTTGGGAAAACAGGTGCCAGCTTCTCTGTTTACGTCTGAGAGGATTTAAAAACAACACAGCTCGTTCCAACACTTGTCTGCTTAAACTCCGACCTTGGACCAAACTTACGCTGCTCATTCAAAGACAGAAAAATCAGAAAATGCATAATTACTCTGTAACAGACCTTAACATGAATTCTAACTTTGCATGAGGATTAAAATAATCATTGTTACTGTTTTCACAGTTAATAAAAATTGATTAGTTCACTGTAACATCTAAAATGTTTGAACTAAAACACTTTGATTATCAAACATTTGTAAAACAGTAATGATAATAGAAAAGAGAGTGTTCTTTCACTTGAATTTTCAAGAAAGAAAGTCTCAGGATGGGTGAACCTGTATTTCTGGATTCAAATCAATGAAATGACAGTTTCTGTCCCACAAGGTCAAGTTTTGACATCAGGTCAAGTTCACTACAGCAGGTTCTGACCACTGCCCAAAGCTTTCTCCAACACATCCCAAAGATTCTCAATGGTGTAAAGGTCTTGACTCTGTGGTGGCCAATCCATGTGTGAAAATGATGTCTCATGCTCCCAGAACCACTCTTTCATAATTGAAGCCCGATGAATCCTGGCATTATCTTAGAATATGCCTGTGCCATCATGGAAGAAAAAAATCCATTGATGGAATAACCTGGTCATTCAATATATTCAGGTAGTCAGCTGACCTTCTTTGAGCACATATTAGGGCTGGGCCATATCATATCGTTTACGATAATACCGGTAAAAAAAAGTTTGCCTGGGAAAATAAATGATATTACTATATGCTAATTTCATGACGTAAGTACGTCAGTGTTTGCCCCGCCCCGTTAACAGAACGGAGCGCGCCAAAATACCGAACCATACTGCGCACCCCCCCATCCACCTGTCTGTACTGGCGTAATGCTAATTTGCTGCGCACAATACTAGCTAGCTAAAATACTAAAAACAAACAACTCGCGGCTCGGCTGCGTTTCTCCATCCAGCTCTAACTGTGAGTACAGACAGTGACAGCTCAACTGTCTCTCCCTCTCCCTCACCAGCGCAGCTTGGCTTCTTTCTCTCTCCCCACCGAGCTCTGGGCTGCCGGTGCGGGCACAGTGGGTCCGCCCACTCTAAACTGCCGGTACAAGCACGCGCAGGTCTGTCTCTTGAGTTCCACAGTCCATGGACCAAGAAAAGAGGCAGGTGATCAAAGACAGAGCCGTCAGAGAAATTAATCATTCCTGCAGGAACAGACGAAGCTGAAACACCAACAAACTTCAGGGTCAGCTGATCACCTTGTTACAAGTTTTCGAAGTTATAGCTCATTTAAAGGCAACATATGTTTTGTTGTATGTTACATTTATGCTCAACAGATCTTAAACTTCATTTTATTTAGTTATTTTAGGACACTTCACCTGCACTTTCGTTTTTGTGGTAGATTTTGTTGATCTATATTTTGTGCAGACTTTTTCAATCTAAATAACAGAAGGATCTTTTTTATTTTTATAGTTTGAGACTGAATACTTTACTAAATAAAGTAATTTCAGTAAAATTAACCCTTGTTTTTTAGTTTTTATATAATACAGCAAAGCAGCATGTTAAGTTAATTTTGTCAAATGATAACTATGATTTCTGGTTTTTATTTATTTTTGTTATCATGAAATTTATCGTTATCGTCAGAATGCTCTGAAATATCACAATATTATATTTGAGCCATATCGCCCACCCCTAGCACATACTGTTGCTGAACCTAGACCTGACCAACTGCAACAACCCCAGATCATAGCACTGCCCCACAGGCTTGTACAGCTGGCACTAGGCATGATGTGTGCATCACTTCACCTACCTCTCTTCTTACCCTGATGCGCCCATCACTCTGGAACAGGGTAAATCTGGATTCATCAGACCACATGACCTTCTTCCATTGCTCCAGAGTCCAATCTTTATGCTCCTTAGCAAATTGTAGCCTTTTTTTTCGTTTAGCCTCACCGATTAGTGGTTTTCTTAAGGCTACACAGCTGTTCAGTCCCAATCCCTTGAGTTACCTTTGCATTGTTCATGTGGAAATGCTCTTACTTTCACTATTAAACATGGCCCTAAGTGCTACTGGTGTTTTTTTTTAAATTTTTTATTTGATTTCACCAAACATTTAAGTGATCACTAATCATGATCATTCAGGATTTTTTTCCAGCCACATTTCTTCCTCGAAGACGATGGGTCCTCACTATCCTTCCAGTTTGTAATAATGCGTTGGACAGTTCTTAACCCAATTCTAGTTGTTTCTGCTATCTCCTTAGATGTTTTCTCTGCTTGATGCATGCCAATGATTTGACCCTTCTCAAACAGACTGACATCTTCTCCACGACCACGCGATGTGTCTTTCGACATGGTTGTTTAAGAAATGAGAAGCAACTCATTAAACCAGTTGGAGTTAAATAACTTCTTGCCTGCTGAAAGATAATTGCCCATGCAGTAATTATCCAATAGGAGGCTCGTACCTTTTTGCTTAGTTAAATCCAGGTGGTAACTTTTTTTTTTTTGGCCAAGCAGTGTACAAAAAAAGTATTTTTAAGCAATTAAATAAGGTGGTCCGTTTGTCCTCTTATAAGGAACACTAACTGTGTTAAAGGTACTTCCAGGGTTTCAATGATGGCTGGCTTGTAGAAAATAACTCCATCTATAATAAGGGTTATAAACTAAGGTGCATGATTTTTCAAAGGTTTTACTTTTAGAGACAAAAGTAAAGAGCCCTCTAAGAGTCTCTGATTGTTAAAACAATTGCTGCTTGTTTTATGTTTCAGAGGGATGGTTCTCTGTGACACCAGAGAGGATTGCGGAGCACATCGCTCTCCGAGTGGCGCAGAGCTCCCCCAACTCTCAGCTGGTAATAGATGCCTTCTGTGGTGTGGGAGGAAATGCCATCCAGTTTGCTCTCACTGGAAGAAGAGGTGAGTCGTGTGTGTGTGTCATTAAGGCCATGCCCTCTAAGGTTAGTCCCTTTCATCCACATAGAAAGACTGTTTTAGTTATATGGGGAGAAAATCCTCAAATGTTGCTCCAACCTAAACACAACCTTTTGAAAACTTGAGCTCATAGTTTCATCTACAAGTCCAACTAAACGTACTTCATCAGTAACAAGTCCAACTGAACGGACTTCAACAGTAACAAGTCCAACTAAACATACTTCAACAGTAACAACAGATTACTTGCTTGTGTTTGGGCTGCAGACACTAGAACTGCAGCAAACTGTTGTTCCTGAATCACTTCAGTGAACAGACAAAGCTGATGAAGAGCAACAACCTGAAACAAAGCAGAGTAAAACCCCTACTATTACACCAAATAATCCAACAATACATTGTTTTTTTCTTCACTTTACTGAAATGGCAACAATACTAAAATAAACTGACTGAGTAGGAGTGAGTCATCCTCCGATTTCCGGATCCCCCTTGTAATTCATTAAACAGCGAAAGAGTCTCTTTCTTTTGCACTTTCGCTGTAAATGGTAAATGGACTGTACTTATATAGTGCCTTTCTATCTTATTTCAAGATACTTGAAGCGCTTTACACTACAATCTGTGTCCTCATTTACCCATTCATACAGCACTCTACTAGATCTCTACAAAGCTAATTGAACAAATCATTCTAAAGAGACTAATCAGAGTTTTATCACATTCATACGCTGATGGGACACACATCGGAGGCTATGAGGGGTTCAGTGACTTGCCCAGGGACACTTCGGCATGTGACTGCTGGTTGATTCGAACCCCCAACTCTCGCACTAGAGGACGACTGCTCTTACCACTCAGCCACAGCCGCCCCGGAAATTAAAACAGAAGTAAACAAAAATATTTATTTAAAGTTTTATCAGGAGGAGAAAGTCAGCTGTCACTAAAAGAGCTCGATCACAGGTGAAAAGATGAAGCTGCGATGACGTCAGAGGGAACGGAGGGTTGGATGGATCACGTGATATGTGAGCAAAAGTCGGACAAACACTTTCAGAATGTGGAGGTTGGTTCTGAGAGCTCAAGTCAGAGTCTGGGGTACGAGTCTGTGATAAAAAAAATACAGGCATGGGTTATTCAGAGGCAGGAAAAGTAAAACTTATCCAAGGTTTTCAGCTGGAATTGGTGGTCTGAAGGCAGAGCAGACGTGGATGTCCAGATATCTGGTGGGCAGAAGAATCTGTCTTGGGGAAGGCAAAGGGAGGAGGAATCATGAAGTGGGTCAAGAACAGAGCAGGAACAAAAACGCTGGATTACTTCAGGCATGAAGAGATAGACAATCTGCAGAGTCTTGGGAGTTCTTAAGAAGCACGTCACAGGTGCTAAATCATTTAACGTAATTTATTTTAAATAAACAATGTGTGGCTCATCCATCAATCAGCCAATCGTGTGTCATGTCCAGTCTTATTTTGAAAAACCACGATAGAGCAAGGCTGTGAAAGTTGAACCGCCAAGTAGCAAGGGACTTCTTTACATGTACAACTGATTAATTTGAGAATACCTAATTAAAGATGGCTTCCACTGCCAGCTAACCTTAGGAAACCTGACAATGGCTATAATGTTCAGTTCTATTTCGTATAGGCTGCGCCCTTTAAAGGCTGTCGCTGGTGGGTTTTATCCTGTCACGCGAAGTGTAGCACTGAAAACTTTACTCCACGCCCACCTGTTGTGTGGGCCTCACTCGGTCCGTACAAATTACGTTGAGAGTGGGTAATCGGCTCCCATTTTTCTTCAGCAAGCGATCAGCACTGATCTTCACAAGAACGCGATGTCCAGCAGCAACACCATCCGCCTGTGCTCGTCCTGCAAGATCGGCTACATGCTGAGCTTCGACCGGCACGACACCTGTGAAGGATGCGTGAGTCCCCGCCACGCCGATCTCGCCTCCTCCTGCCGTCTCTGTGACCTCCTTCCTCCTGAGGAGAGGCAGAGGCGAGCAGCCTTGTTCAAGGCTAATGTCGAGGAGTGCCTCTCCGTGGCAGGAGACTGTTCACTGGACGTCGCCATCGCCTCTTTTGACGCCAGGTCTCGGAACAAATCGGATGGTTCTTCGAGGACAGGCAACGTGAGAGTGTAGTGTTGGAACGGGAGGGGGGGGGGGGGGGGAGGGTCCCCCCCCCCCCCCCGGGCCTTTCCGCATCAGCAACCACACAGCTCCCAGCTGTCGGTGCCCTGCTCGCAGAGCTGCCCGGCATAATCCAGGAGGCGGCTGACACGAAGGGACTTTCCGTCCCTCTCCTCCCCCCGCCCAGATCGGATGATCTAGCGGGAAGGTTTGGCTCCACCCCGGCTCGCCGTCCTGACCCCATCTGGCCTCGTTTCCCAGCAGTGACGTCCTACTGGAACGAGGCTGCAGCTGGACCTGGTAAACTGAGAGCGCCCGTCTCCATCTTCACTCCCATCACCAGAGTGGAGGGGTTTACTGAGCGGAATTTTCCCTCGGTTCCCCCCCGCAGCCAATCCTGGCGGAAGCACTCGGGGCAAAAGTGTCCAGGTTGGACCAGCGTCCTGTCCCTCTAGGGAGACACGACCAGACGGTGACGTCACTCTCCAGCCGAGCCCACCAGTGTGCGTTCCAGGCAGCCGCAGCGAACAACAATGTCGCTCTGCTGGCCTATAGCACCTCCAAAAGGCTGGAGGACACAGACCTGCCTGAGGAGACAAAGAGCTCGCTCTGCAAAGCGTCTGACGTCATCCTCAACCTGTGCGCCTCCTCTGCTTTCTGCCTGTCTCGCTTCGCCACCTGGATGACAATGATCCAAAGGTCCACCTGGCTCCGACACTCCCCTCCTTGTCGGAGAAACTGCAGAAAGACCTGCTGGAGGACCCCATCATGACGGACGCACTGTTCGGGGCCAATTTCAAGGCCATGCTTGAAAAATCAAAGAAGTCGGAGGAGGAGGTGTCGAAGACTGTGCGCCAATTGATGAAGCCGCACTCCTCCTCCACCCCCCCCACCCGCTGGAGAGATCGTCGTGGCCAGAGGCAGCAGCAGAGACGCTCCACAGCTGCAGCAGTGACCTCCCGCCCTGCTCCGCCGCCGGCCCCTCCTGCCAGAGAACAGTCCTTCTCATTGCGGCAACCAGCGGCTCAACGTTTCCCCAGAGACCGCCAACAGGTGCCGCCCTGGAACAACCAGCCTCGGGGCTCATGGGGGAGAAGATATAAGAAATGACTCCTTGCGGAGGATGTGTGTGTGTGTAATGATGACATGAGTTTTAAAATAAAATGAAAACATCATTCAGAGAATAAAGTGTCTTCTGATTCCAGCCTGACTGCCAGATCGAATGATCTCACAGCAGCTTCTCTTGTCACATCCTCCACACAAAATGAGCCGATGATCTCAAAACAAGTTTTTAAACGTCACCGTAGCTCAAGAAACCACACAAAATACTCGCTTGACACAGCAACTAAAAATTATTTTTTTCAGCAGACCGAGCCCAGAAGAAAACCTCACTTTCAGCCCAGGGTGTGTTCTGCTTCTTCTGACCGCAGCGGGGACAAACGCGTTTCCCCATGCCAGCTGCAGCCTCCACCCAAACGGCGTCGCATTTCTGACGACACGCATGCCTCTCCTCAGTGCACGTTAGCTCACATTAACTCTGCAGTGAGCCCGCAGCCTGAGCGCGGCATAGAGGCGCTCTCAGGGCCCTCTCTGGGGGGGCCTCCCCATGGGTCGCTCGGAGTACGTCTCCGCAGCACATGACGATGGTGGGGGCCCTGACTTGGCTGACGTCCATAAAAGACATGACGCAACACAAAAACACGTGCCCTTTCCCAGAGCGTTACGCAGAGTGGCAGCGAGCATGCTCCCTGGACAGATGGATGAACCATCTTATCAGCAGAGGTTACACGCTGCAGTTCGCAGCTCGACCCCCACCGTTCAGAGGGATTATAGAGACAGTTCTGTCATCTCCAGAACATATCTTGTCCCTCCATGCAGAAGTTCAGGAATTACTGTTAAAAAATGTAATTTCCAGGTTTCCCAACGGAGAGGTAAACTCAGGGTTTTACTCACGTTACTTCCTGGTTCCGGAAAGGACCGGAGGATTGAGACCCATTTTGGACTTATACGTTTTCAACAAGTCGATCATGGAGAGACAGTTTCATATGCTGACAAACAGACAGCTGTTGGACAGCATTTACCAAAACGACTGGTCTACCTCCATCAATCTCAAAGACACCTATTTTCACATTCCAATCATTCCAAAACACAGAAAGTTCCTGTGCTTCTCCTTCCAAGGGACCCAGTACCAATACAACAGGCTCCCGTTCGGTTATTCCCTCGCACCACGCACGTTTTCAAAATGCGTGGAGACGGCTCTGCAGCCGCTACACAGAGCAGGGATGAGAATTCTGTTTTACCTGAACGATCTGCTGCTGCTGACCCGATCCAGGCAGGAAACAACGACGCAAACCAAAACGCTGACATCACATCTGTTAAACCAGGTTTTCGCCATAAACTGGGAGAAGAGTTCGGTTCTCCTGGCCCAGATGATTGTGTAGTGAACTAAGCTTCAGGTCAAATCTGAGCTTCCTGACACAAGAAACTGAGTCGAGCATAGTTAGAGTCAGTGCAGATGACCAGCGTCTGGATGGAGCGTTCCACTGCCATCTGTAGGCCTATTAGGATTCCAGCTATCTCAGCGTACTGAGAAGACTGAGAGCCCAATTTATATGCCAAATCAGTGCCCAAGTGTGACTTCTTATTTTGACCATAGCGGATGTCTAGGTTAAAACTTTGAAGTGCCATAAGCCATGTGGCTACACGTGAGTTTGTCACCACACCATCTCTGATGCGTTGGCTGTTTAGAAACGTTACTGGCTGGTGTTGTGTCTCAACAATAATCCTCTGTCCACCAATATAGCAGGAGAAATGTTTCACTGCCCACACAGTGGTCAATAGAGCCTTCTCACAGTCTGAATACCTTAATTCAGGGCCTGCC